GGGCTCTTGCAGAGCCCGATACACGTGTTTCGACCTTACAGTCTCGTTAGTCGGGCAGAACCCGTCGTCTTTCAGCCTTTTTAGCTAATCCTCTCTTGAGCACTACTCTTAGAAAAAATTTAAGTTTATCGATATCCAACGTAGGGCTTAGCCTTGCTTCGCGTCCATCGTTCACTTCTCCAGTTACTCATACTGTCTCTCAACTATGATTGTCGTTCAGCCCCTGATTTCTGTGATTGAAATGAGATGAAAGCAACCTTATATTTTCAAACTCTGGACATGATTATTCAGAATTACGTGATTTGGTAATGAACCTCCAGTACTGTAGCTTTCCAGTGAATGCCCTATATACTCTACTCATGTACAGAAAGAAATAGTCGATATGAAGCTGGAAAGTATTCAATAATGAGGCTATAAGATAGTCGGTCTCACTGGAGAGAACATGAAAACCGTGAACCGAGCCAAAAATCACTTGTGGCTCCTAGAGAGCCGATGGAGCTGCACTGAGCGAAAAACATTTGCGAACATCAGAACCAGGGACTTCTAGCTACCAACGTTGATGTGTCTCGAGATTACTGCGCTATTAAAAACTTACGAACTTTATTGTTTCTGAGGCCTTCATGGGATATACCAGTTATTAGTTTTTTCTGAACAGCAGAAAAAGTTGTCTACGCGTGTTATGTAGCCAGTTCTTTTGGCACTCTTTTATTTCCAAAGATGTTGTTTGAAGGGATCTAATTCGCTAGACAAGAAATTTTACATCAAACTTTCGGTGATCAGTCAAAAGTCTAAATTTTAGAAATTTCAAGAACGTGCTGGTTTTTGAAAGAGGCTCTTTTTTCAGTGTTGTAGTGTAGGAAAAAAAAAACATGGTGTGTCAAACGCACTACGCGTTATCGTGCTCATTATCGCGCTTTATTAAAAATTTTGCTCTGCTTAATAGAGATTTCTAAGCTTTTTGTCTTGGGATTCCGGAAAGTACTTTTTTCTATCGTTCTATGAAATAAGGCGTCATTTTTGTTTTATATTTATAAACAAGCCCTTCAATTTGCTTGTGCCTAAGCAGCGTAGGACTAAGCACGGTATGCATATGAACGTGCAGAAGTAATCTAGTAGTATCAAAGTTACATGTTCTATGTGAATTTTTTGTAAAGGAGAAAAGACCCTAAGTTCAATAAGAAACAATGCCTGCCACATGTGAGCTGGTGCTGTATGATCCTCGTGATTGATACCAGCCAATCACACACCATTACCGACAAGATATGCGCTCTGAGTGTGAAACTAGTCTTACTTCCCTGCTGCAAAACAGTAAAGGGATTTTATTAGAGAACAAGCGTAATTTTGATGTTTCGAGATTTACGCTGTCGCATGATTACTAATAATCCAGAGAAAGCGATCTGTTCAGCGAAAATACGCGCGAAAACGCGCGTTGCGTTTGAACAGCGGTTTTATTTATAATGCCGCAGCGCTATAAAATGGTCTTTTCAGACAATTCCCAAAACCGACTGTCTATTAACCTCGGCATGCTTCAGTATGATTCTTGATTTTCTTCTTTGAGCAGAACACGAGGTGTTACATTAAACTTTATTCGATAGCTGCCGTTTCGGCAGTTCGCCTTTTTCAGAGCCTGGAGAGGTCAAAATATTTGCAATACAATCAGTCAAACACCTCCATTACTTCTTTAGAGAAAATCACCAGACCTAGAATTCAATCGCATCAAGCAAAAATCAACACTCAACATACTCACCGCTTCTTATATGTGTTCCACTGGATGATCCAGGTGGAGATCACCGGAAAGAGAGACACATAGGCTCGTAATGCACCCTACCCATCAAAACAACAGTCTTATATACTAGCTCATATCACGAGTGTTTACAAGGCATTCCTCCCTGCGGTTCATGGTTGGTTTGGTCGTATTAATCCAAAATGCTTCCAAGATCTTTCGCGCCGATGTTTTTTGCTCCTGCGCAAGGATGGTGACTTCGATTTCAAAATCAACTCCGTCATGCTTTTGTGCTCTATGCGTCCCTGGCGGGGTGTTTCGTCTATTAAGACGCTTGTCAGCTAGGTGTTCTTCTATACGTGCATAGAGCGGCCTACCCGTTTCGCCTATATATTTATCACTACACGCTTTGCAAGAGATTGGGTAGACTGTACCTACGCTCACGCAATCACCGCCTCTGCCATTAGGGCATATTTTGCAATCTTTCGTTATGCAGAGACGGTCATATAAGCTGTTTCGAACTAATTGGCGTTTTAGAGTATTCACTGGTATTTCTATAATGGCCACCGATTGCTCTAAACCCGCTCTTTTCAAACATCGTTTAATAGCTGCACTAATCTCATTTGAATAGAACGGGATGATAAACGGAACTTTGCTTTCACTCAAGTTTTCGTTCGGAGGCGCATTATTTCCTCTAAACCTAAGCCGAGGGGTTACAAATTCGTATCCATTATAAATGGATATTTCCCGAGCCAGTTTCACGGATTCTACTCTCTGCTCCTCCCGGTACATACATTGGCTGCTGCTCGAAACATTTTTTTACTAGCGCCTTTTTCGTATGTCAGGGATGAGATGAGAGACAGTGAACCAGGATATTCTTATTACTTGGCTTTCGGTACCACTTTTTTAGGTAGCCGCTCTCAGTTAAGTTTATTTGCACGTTTAAAAATGGGAGCCAATCGTCTTTTGGTAACTCACGGGTAAATTTTATATACTCTGACTGTTCATTCAACAATCTAAAACAATTATCTAGCTCCTTTTGAGTGGAACAGATAACCAAACAATCATCTATATACCTACAGTAGAGTAATGGCCGGAGATCCATTACTGGTGCTTCCACTTTAGACATAAAGGCAATGGCCAGGCTAGGTGCCAGGCGCTGTCCCATTGCCAGCCCTCTGGTTTGAGCTTAATAATTCCCGGACCTTCTGAAGATTGAGCAGTTCAGGCACTCTTTTAATAGGATCATGAACTGCTCAATCGTCAATCCATACATGTTTACAGCTCCCTGGTGTTGTATAAGAAGCTCATGTGTGGCTTGCAATGCGGAGTCATTCGACACGTTGGTATATAAAGCAGTGACGTCGAATGACTCCATTACGTACGCGTTGTTCGGGTTCGCGTTACGTAGACGATCCAGGAACATCTGAGTGTTCGTCAGATGGGCTGGAATGTGTCCTAGCAAGTGGGATGTTATTAAAGTCAAGAACCATGCTATCCTAGCCGTCGGTCCGCCTACACAACTGATGATAGGTCTAACTTTGAATATAGATGGTTCGTTAGACATTAAATCATCAGTGGATTCTAACTTATGTGTTTTTATAAGCAAGTATAAGACAGGACATGTTGGTGACTGGATTTTTAATTGAGAACTGATATATGGTCTTAAGCCTGCCGCTTTTGCGGTACGGACCCATTCACTGTTTAATTTGCGGTTTTGCCTTTTGAATTCCTTTACAGATGATCTCCTGCAAATCTTTTTATGAATCCGTTCAATCGAGTTATTTACCATTTCATTGTATAGTATAATTATTGTGAAGTTCTCGTTAATGTCTTAGCGATGTTGCACATCTCAGCTAGCAGAAATTTTCTTTCAAGCCGAATATCGGTAGTATCGCTTGCCAATTCTTTCGTCTTTCCGGTGCACTTGATGAACTAGCTCAGATTTCAGAGAAAACGCAGAAAACAAAGAAAAATGATGATATATATAAATATATAAAATATAAATGATATAAAGGATAAAAGGATAAAGCTCTCGGCGTTGATCAATCTCTGAGGGATGCGCCATGCATTCGACTTCAATTTTAGCTTCGTTTGAGGTGATTGAATGCATATCTGGCCTTTACAATGACTCGCGGAGGCCTTCCGCTAAACCGAGTCAGTGTTGCTTTTCCTCCCATACAAGTCTGAGACCTGTCTGGTACCAATTTACCGACCTCGGAGGGATGGATGGCATGGTGAGCCATGAGCGCGAGATCGAACCACTGACCTCGTGTGCGACGCAGGGCACCTCTAACCACTGCGCCACATGCGCTCATAAAATGATATATGACATATAAATTTGTCACTTCATCGTTACTCGAGAAAGCTGAGGTCATATTTCGATGAGTGAAAGATTCGGAACGCTTCATCGTATATCTTTCCATTCAAAACGAATGAGCAAATCCTTTGTGAGGAAGCCTACTTGCTCAGTTCACTTGCTTTAGAATTTCTCATGATGACTAACTTCCTCAATATTTAGTGATGAATACGACTTGTTTTCAGGTATATTCTTTATTTTTCCAACTCTTCTATCGACGTCAGATCATCGACTAACGGACACTGCATGCAATGCGTTTTCTATTACCGATATATCCAGAGCATGCGACTTATATTATGGAAAAGATCATGTTGGACCTAATGAGACCGAATCTTCTCCAAAACGACGCTCATTTACAGGTGATGATTATGGGCTAAGAATGAACAGTCGTCAATCGATTGCTCCGAGGTAATAACAACTTATGTGGATATTTTCAGGAACTCAAGAGCGAAGTCGAGACTCTGATAAATGCGAGAGCAGTACCAATTTTACCACCATGTACATTCAAGTTTTCGTCTTAATAATAAAGCAGTGCTTATGTTAACCTTTGAATGACGTAGCGTTGAGGTACATACTCAATCTGTGGATGAAAATTATTATGATAAAAACATTAGCAATTGAGGAAACAAAACTTTTATTAACAGTTCTAAAATCGATTGTAGCTTGTCGCAAAGAGCCTTTCTGTGTTTCGTAGGTGACCGCCACATTTCCTATGCAACATCTATAGATAAGTCGTTTCAATCAACAGCCATAAAAGAATTGGGTGGAAGCAATAACACGGTCTCAGGCTTGAATCGAAAACGTGTTTCATCCATACTGGGGATCAGTGCTCTACCATCTCACCAACGAGGCACATTTGCAGTGTAACAGTAGAGCACACGCTCCCGGAATGGATGAAAGGTGCAAATGTGCCAACGTGGTGTAGTGGCAGAGCACGCGTTCCCGGTATGAATGAAACGTGGGTTTGAATCCCGCCTGAGGCCGTGCTTTTGCTCATCACTCAGTTCTCTTAGGTATACGAAACATCACAAAACTGCAAAAAATGCAGTTAAGATACTAGAAATTTCAACAGCCATATTAAAAAAGCAATTCATTAGTTTCTTATTTCTTGGCGGTTATCAGATTCAAGGCGGACATCGTAAATATGTCTATTCCTACTGAAGTAAACAAATTCAAATATGGTGACCAGTGTGTAGTGAGTTTGCAGTTGCGCTCCAATCACATGCCTCTCTAAGGTCACACCATCAGAAAGTGACCGACAACCCGAATGGGGGAACTGCTCAAGCCATATTCGCTACAAAGATATAAATGCTCTAATACAGACACGTGCTTAATTAATGAAAAAAATGTTCATTTTACTAACATTACCTCGTTGAGAAATGAGGTTTTTAAAATTCATTGGCGTCCTTTTTACCAAAAAATGCATTTGTAGAAGTCTCTCAAATGGTTATACATCTCTAAATGACGACGGAGTTTTTTGGCCATTGGAAATTTACTGAATAGGAACCAAATTATTATTGGAGGACGCGCTAGTCTTCGCACGACTGCACGAGATGGACAATGCATCAAAATCCATACACGTCGTATTGCGTGTGTTGTCGTAGCTCAGTTTACATGAGTTTCGATGTAATAGTGAAAAAGAGATTGTATTCATCAAGAAGGGCCACGTTTGTAGTAGTAATACGGAAATATTAAAAAACAAATAGGTCGAGGTGGTAGTCATACGATACTTCTCATGGAATTCTGAACGTGCCATTCCATCTTTCTGACGTTACAGCGCGAAAATGAGCAAGTCCTATAAATACAAAACATCCTGCAGTGTAGCTTCTCGTTTACCCAGACAATTTAGTTTGATTGCAAGTTTCATTGTTTGACACTCTCAGGCACTAAACATTGTTATGTCATCCCAGATGGCTAACACTTATCTTCACATTGATAATGCCTTCCATTTGATTGCTTGTTTTCTTTCTGTACTTCCTTGAGGTCACAGTAGAAGGGGCCACAACACAAGAAATGTGAAAGCTTTGCCGTAGCATATTTATCTGAGTTAAGTAGTTTTTTCTATGAACAACATGGCATCAGCTCAATCATTAAAGAAAATATTATGAAGCAGTGAAACTGCTATTGAAAGAAAATCGGTTATGAAAATACCAAACGACATGAATTGATACGAACAACTGGAACTACGATGAGATCTTCATTCTTCTATGATATTGTCTTCCGTGACAATGTGTGGATTCAAAAACCCATCTCATCGATTATTTGTTTGAAAATCATGAGATATGATTGACCACTGATATGACCCGTCTTGACCAAACTGCATCAAAAACCTCCACAAACGTAGAATTGGTTTTTTATGCTCAAAAATACTCAAAATTTGACACACATTCATTTTCACTACCAACTGTTAGCACGTAAAGGCTTCAGATCACTGTTGCAGTTCGACGCTCTTCCAAGTATTGTCCTAAATCAACCAACATTCTTGAAAGTAAATCTATTAGATTTGAATGTACGTCTAGATTGAATTTACGTGCCTAAAGAGCATATTATTGATTAATCTCGGCTTTAACAGGGCTAATTGTAGTATGTCATCGGGATCTAGAAAAATTGCTGTATGGAGTTCTACTTAGCCTACAAATGGTGATACATTATTTTGCGCTGATCACAGTACATGGTAGTGCCCGTACTACTACTAACTGAAGGAACATCGCAGTTGAAGCCAACTGATGAAACTAGCGCCGCTGCCGTTTACCAGCTTTTTGAAAATACGACGAGGTTATGGCTTCTACCTACTATGTGTAAACGACGTTTCAATGAAGCAGCAGGTGCTTCGTGAACAACGTCTTGTATCTCAATGCGTTACAGACATCTAAAAATAAAAAGAGAATGGTGCTCTCATCCCTCTCTAAAGTGTACATAATATGAAGCATAACAGAAGAATTCTAACGAATATCTCGATGGCGTAATGGATAACACGCGAATCAATGGAAAGAGTAAACACGGATACGGGGCCACCTCAAACTCCACGCTTTGCTCAAATCCTATCATTTTTACGGTTGCACTTCTTTAACACATATATTTCACAATGTTTTTGACCTAATGTTTACATACGATCCGTCAATTTTTATTTCGAAACATTTCGAATTCGATCTTTACCGAAAGGTTATCTATATGTTGGAGATTGCTTGAGTAACACTCGGACACTGCTGTATCACTTCTTTGCCATCTAAAACTAAGCCACCGCAAAGTAATGTTTCTGATGGACACCACACTTATTGACCAATCAGCACAGGCGCAGGAGACCATCTGGAAGAAGTTTCCTGCTGAGAGCGCACACGTAGGACTTTCTTAAGTCGATTCTTACAGGAGATGAGCCGTGGGTCTACTACGAGGATGACACGAGCCACCCCTATTGCCTGCCTCACGGTAAAGATCCTCCAGCTCATACAAAATGCTTGACAGACTATGCTCCTAGTTTTCTGAGATTGTCCATGCTGTTTTGTGAGCCGATCGACAACAAGCAGGTAACAAATGCTTATATTCATGGGAAACAACTTCGTAAATTGGCCGAGTAGGCTAGAGAAGCGTCCGAAGCGAGTGTCGACCTTCTTTAGAACAACTTTCGATAATATAATGGAGAATCGACTCGCGACAATTTGACGATACTAGGCTGGACCACGGTACACCGTTTAGCCCTGGTATTGCTCCACTGGATTATTATCTCTTTCGCGCACTAAGACAGCATCTGCGAGAGAACACAGCTGAAAGCTTACAACAACCTTTAAAGTGACCTCAACGGTTTCTTGATTGTCAGCCTTATTATTTCTAGAAAGGAAGCTATCTTTCCCCAGTAAGTGGTTTTATGTTATCGATTATAATGATAATTATAATTTTAATCGTTTGATATCTGTACAAATAACAACTGATTTAAGAAAAGTGTCGATTTGGAAAGGAAGTTATGGGCCAACCTAACACGTCACGACTGAAGACATTCTCCCAAAAACGCCGTGATTTTTCCACTATGATGCCCTTGGACAAAACACAATAAAGACTTCAAAATAAAATTATGAGTTTAGCCGACCACGTGTACTGACTTTCTTTCCGTTGATTTTCTTTGCGGGTGTTCACGTCGTTCCTTTTTTGATTGTGAATAGCCCGCTGGATATGGTAGCGGCTCAGAGATCTCGACTGAAAGTGGAAATTCTCCATGATACTCACAAAGAAGTAAATTTACAATGATCTCCTAGAACAATTTTGTTGTGAAGAATCTCTAATCATTGAACAGAGGATCGAATCGTCATCTCTCTCTCTCTCTCTCTCTCTATATATATATATATATATATATATATATATATATATATCGTCTTTTCTCTTTGTTTTCTACGTTTTCTCTGAAATTTGAGCTAGTTCATCAAGGGCACCGGAAAGACGTCAGAATTGGCAAGCGATACTACCGATATTCGGCTTGAAAGAAAATTTCTGCTAGTTGAGATGTGCAACATCGCTAAGACATTAACGAGAACTTCACACTAATTATACTATACAATGAAATGGTAAATAACTCGATTGAACGGATTCATGAAAAGATTTGAAGGAGATCTTCTGTAAAGGAATTCAAAAAGCAAAACCGCAAATTAAACAGTGAGTGGGTCCGTACGGCAAAAGCGGCAGGCTTAAGACCATCTATCATTTCTCAATTAAAAATCCAGTCACCAACATGTCCTGTCTTATACTTGCTTATAAAAACACATAAGTTAGTATCCACTGATGATCTAATGTCTAACGATCCATCTATATTCAAAGTTAGACCTATCATCAGTTGTGTAGGCGGACCGACGGCTAGGATAGCATGGTTCTTGACTTTAATAACATCCCACTTGCTAGGACACATTCCAGCCCATCTGACGAACACTCAGATGTTCCTGGATCGTCTACGTAACGCGAACCCGAACAACGCGTACGTAATGGAGTCATTCGACGTCACTGCTTTATATACCGACGTGTCGAATGACTACGCATTGCAAGCCACACACGAGCTTCTTATACAACACCAGGGAGCTGTGAACATGTATGGCTTAACGATTGAGCAGTTCATGATCCTACTAAAAGAGTGCCTGAACTGCTCAATCTTCAGATGGTCCGGGAATTATTATGCTCAAACCAGAGGGCTGGCAATGGGACAGCGCCTGGCACCTAGCCTGGCCATTGCCTTTATGTCTAAAGTGGAAGCACCAGTAATGGATCTCCGGCCATTACTCTACTGTAGGTATATAGATGATTGTTTGGTTATCTGTTCCACTCAAAAGGAGCTAGATAATTGTTTTAAATTGTTGAATGAACAGTCAGAGTATATAAAATCCACCCGTGAGTTACCAAAAGGCGATTGGCTCCCATTTTTGAACGTGCAAATAAACTTAACTGAGTGCGGCTACATAACAAAGTGGTACCGAAAGCCAAGTAATAAGAATATCCTGATTCACTATCTTTCATCTCATCCCTCACATACGAAAAAGGCGCTAGTAAAAAACATGTTCTGAACAGCAGCCAATGTATGCACCGGGGAGGAGCAGAGAGTAGAATCCGTAAAACTGGCTCGTGAAATAGCCATTTGTAATGGATACGATTTTGTAACCCTCGGCTCAGGTTTAGAGGAAAAAAGTGATGGAGGTGTTTGGTTGATTGTATTGCAAACATTTTGACCTTTCCAGGCTCTGAAGAAGGCGAACTGCCGAAACGTCAGCTATCGAATAAAGTTCAATGTAACACCTCGTGTTCTGCTCAAAGAAGAAAATCAAGAATCATACTGAAGCATGCCGAGCTTAATAGACAGTCATTCATGGGAATTAATTGAAGGAGAGTGAAAATATATGTTAGTTGCGATTTTAAGATTACATCACCTACAGGTATGCAGTGGACTGAGAAAACAACTTTGATGAGAAATAAAATAGTAGGAGAGCGTGAAAAGCTTCCCGCGCCTATACCT